TGGTTGTGTGCTGTAGCGCAGATGCAACAGGGCCATATTTTGTTCAGGTTGAGTTGAAACAGATGAAGTTTATTGCAGAACTTAGTAAACTGGACTGTTAAGACGGTCATACTAGATTATACTGAATTGATTTCCAGATCCCTTGTCATGATGGGACCACCTAGGTTTGATTGCTCAACTCTTTCTAAATGAGGGGGAAGTATGTGAGGGTTAGAAGTGAGGAAAAGCAAGAGTGGTTGTATGATTTGGATCAGTTTAATTTACTTGTTTGCACATACACAGCAATTGAATCATTTCAGTGTAGTACTATTTAGACATTGTTCAAAAATGTTTCCTCCACTAAAGGCCAAATCATCACCAGCAAGACGGTGGTCAAACGCTCATCATCCTTCTCTTAACACTCCACAATGCTTAATTTACTTCTGTTGATCTGAGTCAGCAAGCTAGGTGCTGTTGTTAGCAGTGTCTTTTTTTTTTTTTATTTTGCTCACAAGCACAGCGATGGCAGCAGTAAGTGATTTAGTGTGTGTTGTTGCACAGTGGATGGTCGCCAACAACAATAACAGGGAGAAAAGGGGCGTGCTGCTTGTTTGTGTCATTTAGCAGATTCACTGAGTCAAAGCAGATATTTGCTCTCTTCTGTCCTCTCCTTTCGTCTCTCGCCTGAAATCTCAATACAGAGTGGTTTTTTTTTAAAGCGTCTGCCCTTGCCTTTAGGCTTCCTTTCCTCAGTACAACACGAAGAGCAGGTTTTTTCTATCGAAGGGATGGTGCAGTGCAACAAAGAATATTTTTTGCCTGACTGCTTATTTTGGATTTATGAAATAATATTTGACAAGTTGCAGAGCGTGAAAAGTGTGAGGATTTGCAGCTGAACTCTGGGCTGATTTCTCTGGGCATGGGTGTAGGTTTGGGTGTGTGACATCGTAGTCAGACCCTACTAAACTGGTTGTCAGTCATTCAGTGATCAGAGGTTTATCTTCGTAGCTAAATGTTTCTTGTTTCTGCATATCATCACCGCTCCACTTCCACTAATCCTGGTTTTCAAAGATGTTGTTTAGAGCAGTGGTTTTCCCCTCCCTCTCTCCCCCTTCTGCGTACCTCCTCCTCGGCACTCCCTCTATACATGTACCAGCAGCACTGGAGGGAGTGCAATAAAACAAAGACAGAGCAAGCAGAAATACAGACAACAGCTGTAGCTCAGCTCTTAATGATCCTGCAGGGCTAAAAGCTCACATCTCTGAATTCTGTTAAACACAGAGCATTTGACTCCTGAGTCCTGAGCTCTCTGTTACTGGTTTTCTCTTTTTTACCTTTTCCTTCTTTCATATACTCATACTTTATTTTTTGCTGAGGCGTTCAATCCAAGCTTCCTTACACTGCTTTCGTTGCTTTTACGGTACAGTAGTGATAGATTATTTTCCTGTAAGTCTCCGTCCTGCTCACCTTTCCTTTTTATTCTCTAATTAATGAGCTTTGTGTGAAAATACTGTGTAGTAAGCATGAGACCCTCACCCCCTCCACCCCCCAAACCCCACCTTTCCCTCAGGAAGTGTTTACACACACATGTTTGCTCCGCAGCGACTCTGCACAATAACACTTTTCCAAGGACACAGTGTTCACTGGAACGCACACGCTGTACTGTACAAATTTACAAGACTCTCACACACCGGTAGCAGTGGTCTTTAGGTAAAATCCACAGTTCTGTGTGCAGAGATTTCTTTTGTAGATGAAGCCCAAACGTAAATTCAAAGTTATTGACTGCCACTTAATTACAACTGATTTTCTACCAGTGAATCCCTGGTAGTTGGCAGGAATGATTTGAAACCACCACAGCAAGTTATTTACATCCCTTTTTGATTAAATGATTTTTCATCCTGAGGATGCAGAGTAAAAGGAAGATGTAGAACTCCAAGAAAAAGTCACAGATCCTCTTTAGAAGAAACCCAGAGGGAAACTTATTATGTGCCTGCATTTTATTACAAAGCTAAAACGTCAATTTTTCTTCATTTCTGAGACATTCAGCATATTATCACAGAACCGGAGTAACAGTTCAGGCTGGGAGCAAATGTATGCTTGATGCATACGCAATAGGAATGTGTATTGGTAAGAATCAGTCGATATGATATCTATGAAGATACAGGGGTTACGACAAGAACAAAACCATCCATACACTTAACCTTGCGAGGCGGCTGGACTGGAGATCACGGGGGACTCTATCTTGCCAGGCTTCAATCTATGCTTTTGTGGCAGGTACAATAGTACCGGACCAATCAGCGTCCTTTGATTAAGTACTGGAAGCTATGGGGTTGGGCGCTAGGTGTAGAAGACACAATGGCGGCCCCCATAGAGGTTAACATAGATGCTGTTAACATCAGTTATTTCAGAATTGGAGAGTATTTCTTTAATGAAAGAAGAGCAAAGAACGGCACCGGAGGCTTTTCTTGATGTTTAGGCTCTTCCCAACTGGCTTCAGTAAGAGTTTGACTACCTTTTTATGGTTAATTGATCTGATTAGTTAGATTAGATCAGATTAGATAGATTAGTTGAAGTTTGCTCATGGTAGACAGTGATAGACAGATGGTTCATCTAATCACCTGCCAAGTATTTATTGAAAACCGTTTCCAGCGATGACTTCCCAGATGGTCAAACACAGAAAGAGCACCATCAGGTTATCATACACAATTTCCCACACATAAACTGGCCTTTTCTGTGTATTAAGAACACATAGTGTAATTTATGTATTTATGTAGACTTAGTACCTGGCATGCTGTCTCCTCTAACCCAGCAGCAGTGTGTAGGTTTAGATGGACTACTGGTGTGACTGAAGTGAAGACTTGAAGGTAATGAAAGACCTCGTACAAGTTCTGTTTTTAACAGCAGTGCTGAGCTGCAAAAGGTTGTTGGTTTCATTGTACAGCACTAATTAGTGTGAGGACATTTCTTGAGGACAGAAGTGAAGCTCCCATCCACCACCGCAGAAAGCCCAGGCTTCAGTTCCCGGTAGCAAAACCACTGGCTTCGTCATGTGCTCAACAAACAAAATTGGCCGTGTTCGTAGGTTTGAAGCCAGTTGACGGTTCTCATACTTGTAACTGCACCAGTGATTTCTACTGGTGAATGAACCTCCAACATATTACGCCCTCCTGGTGTAGGTCATTGCAGTCAGGAAATCAAATAGAACATAATATAAAATGCATACTTTCTTTTTTTACAAATTTGATGTAGAGTATTTTTATCCATATTTTAGTTTCATTCTTGAACCTAAATAGAATTTCCTCATCTGACTAGCTCCAGTGAGTTTTTATGTGTGTGCGTGTACGTTCATTATGTAGCAGATCCTGCTGCAAGAATCAGCTGGTTTCCGTTTGAGTAACTGTGTGGTCTCACTGGTCTGAGTCTCAAAACAAGTGTGTTATGGCCATTCTCATTGTATTCAAGTGGCACTGACTTGCTCTTTCATTTAGTCTCTCACACACATTACTTCAGACCGCAGCATCGCCTCTTGTAGTATTTTCAGCCATGGTCAGAAACTATTTGTGTGGAAAGACAAAGGTTTTATTTTTCTTTAGACATATGGATGGGTGATGAACTTGAGTATGTGAGTTAAACTGATGGGGGACACTGTGGGAGACAAAGGGGAAGAGGAGATGGAGGCGGCTGAAAAGTGAAGCGGACATATTCTCACCTTGGTGACAATGCTGACCGCAGCACAAAGTCAGATTCACACACCAGCCTCAAGTGTTACAGTACAGTAGAAACATAGCACAGGTTCTGTCTGTATCAGCATACACTGCTTACTGTGACTGCATTTATCTGTCTGTATATCCTACCTACACACAGAGTCTAAAATCAATCAAATACTGCTACAACATCATCCCATTTGTGTTAATCTCATTTTTTGTCCTGATATTTCTGGATTCCTGCACACATGCACCATTGTTTTCCTCCTTTTTTGTCTTTTTTCTCTCCGTTTGTGTCATTTTTTGCCCATGTGCTTCACTTCACTCTCAGCAGAGTCCCTCAGCCAGAACAGTGAGTTTGAATGTTGCCCAGTCATCTGACTGGAGTTAGCCCCCGCAACAGTCTGGGAAGGCAGCAGTGACTGACCCACACACACACGAAGAACAATACCTCCTTTTTGCTAACTTAAGTAGGGGAGCCCTTAAAGGGGTTACAATTTCTGATCCTCTCTGTCAAGAGAGTGCTCCTCAAGGCAGATACACAAACAGTGCACATTAGAAGAGTTCTAGACATCATCATGTTGATCATTTGCAAGAGTTGTGTAGGGATATCCTTTTTAAATGCTTTGTTTGTTTGCTTTGTGAATGATGGCTGTCAGAAAATTTCCATTTAAATCTGTTGCACTGCTCGCACAGGCACCTCAGAGCGAATGGCCTTCGAGTGAACTGCAGAGCCCACAAAATAAATAGGCATCAGTTAACCTAATGATATGATAACATGTGCCAGCAAGCCATGTGTGGATTAAAAACATTTTACATGTATTTTCAGGAACATTTTGCAACTGTGGTGCATTTGAACTTCAGCGTTTAAATCTTAAGTCATACACTTAAGCTGTCGCACATGGTTAAATGGGATTACTTGCTTTAGTGCGAGTGTTCACTGTCCAGGTATATTATGTAGAAATAAATTTTAAAAAATACAAATATTATCAACAGATATCAGACAATATTAAAGGATGTGACAAAAGAACATGTTCGAAATAAACTTGGTGTAATTTTTTCACTCAGTCTGATTCTTGTGTGTGTGTGTGTGTGTGTGTGTGTGTGTGTGTGTGTGTGTGTGTGTGTGTGTGTGTGTGTGTGTGTGTGTGTGTGTGTGTGTGTGTGTGTGTGTGTGTGTGTGTGTGTGTGTGTGTGTGTGTGTGTGTGTGTGTGTGTGTGTGTGTGTGTGTGTGTGTGTGCTTACCTCCTTGAGAATGACAGATATGCTCAAACACAAAGCATTCCTAACCTTTTTTAATTTTCTTTGTTTTGTAGCTCAGAATGTGACGGTGGATGAGATCCTCTCTTCCTACAAACAGGCCTGTCAGAAACTCAACTGTAAACCCATACCCAAAGTGCTCAAACAGATACAGGTGAGGTTCAACAGACACTCACACACTGGTGTAATACTGACAACATACACCCAGTGGCCAGTTTATAAGCCACACCTAGACTAACCTTTGCCTACTGTCATTGAAATAAATTGGGTGGACAAAACAATAGAAACACATGTCAGTATAACACAGTGTAGTTCAACAGCAACACAAATTGCAGCCTTTGATATAACCGAACAGCTGAATCAACACCTCTCTAAAACTGTTTCAACAAAAATTGAACTCTCTAACCTTCATGAGGGTAGGAATTTATTGCAGGATTGTTGTATTAGACTGTTTTAGTTTTAGCTAGGTGTACCTAAGAAACTGGCAACTGTAGTCACTTCAGGTGTTTCATAACTCGAACTGAAATGCTGTAAACAATGTCAGAGAAAAGGTGATGAATGAGAAGGGCTTTTTCTACTTGAAATTTTGTTATTTGCCACCTCTAGTGGAACGCCATAATCCCTTCTTAAATCCCTTGGCAGAGTGGAAAGCCATCACAGCCCTAGCCAGCTGAGCTTCTGCTTTTTACCCCTTTTTCAACAATTTGATGTGTCCAATCCCCCTGGACTGTACTGTACTTGTCACTGCAAACACTGCTGCCAACTGCTTCTTTTTGATGGCAAGAACTTCATCAAGAGAGCATAATATGCTCAAATGTACATAAAAATAACCCCACAGGTTGCCTTCAGATACCCCAGCAAACCACCAGTGTAGTCACAAGAACACGATTCCTCACCGGTTTCCCACCCAAAGAGACAAAAGCAAATTTTGTTTTTTGAAATATACAAAAAAAACTAAAAGGTTGGATCTGCGGTTTGTAATGATGTGCGACCTCCTGTAAAACAATGTGCATTAGTGTCATTAAATTCTATTAATTAACTCCATTAATCCTTAATTAATTATAGATGTGTTTAATAGGGACAATTATGTTAATGGTTTATCAAAAATTGCACTAACGAAAATTCACTGGTTGAAGCTCCTCAAATAGCTTTAGAAGACTAATCGATTAAAAGAGAAAATAATCTGCAAATTAATCGATAATTATCGATTATTTGATAAAGAATTTATCAATCTACTTCCAAAGATGCCTGTGAGATACAGTGGAGTGGAGTGACCCTTGTTGACCCTTCAATACAGGAATCATTTTAAGAGCTCTCTAGGGGAAAGGGAAGGAACTTAAACCAGATGGATTTTTTGGTCAAAGATAGTTATTTACCATGGATTGGTCGTAAGCAACTTAGCTTTACAGATAACAAAAAATTAAGCAAACTTCACGGGGAAACTTGCCAAGGGCGCTCGAATCAACAAAATAAATTAAATAAAATAAATAAAACCAAAACAGCACTTTCTAACTTTTAAAAAAACGTTTTAAAAAGGTGTATCTACCTTTCTCCAAACAACTATCAACTATCTAACCTGCTCTGCTCTGCTCTGCTCTGCTCTCACCACTCAAATCCAAAACATCCTTTTATGAGTATATGTGTGTGTATATTTAATGAAAACTAAACTCGGCCCAGTCCACAAGTAGTTAAACCTAATCAATCTTCACAATACAAAAGTCAAATCTATACAGAGAATGAACACTTATGTTGTATTAATGGAAAAAGAGACACAGTGGCACAAAGTTGTTGTTCAGGACATTGGCCTTGGCGCACCTCCATTCATGGTCATCAGGATGGCAGCCAGGAAGTACGATGGGCGGCATCTCGGCACAAAGGGGACCATACACTGTACTTTACATACATGCAAAACACTAAGTATGGTTAGTCAGTTGTGGCAGAGGCCGTAGCAGAAGCACTGTGCAAGTTAAACTGCACCTAGAGTAAAAATAACTACATATATCACGAGGCTATACAACATATATAATAACAGAAACTAGTCCAGTTGTAGCAGCCAGGAGCTTGACAAGCTGGCTGAGAACAGTTAGGAAGTCCCAGTAGCTCCACCCAAAAGTTCTTTGTAGTTGTGAAGGTTCCTGTTCGTGAGGTTAAACAAAATTTACTTCCAAGAATTACATCCTAAACCTTTTCTCCTGGTGATGAAAACACTTAAAATGCCCGTCACTGTGGTTTGAGGGCACAGCATCGTGCACCATGGCATGACTGTGGACCAGTGCTATGATAGTATCCAGTAGAGGTGGGCTTTTTTTTTTTCCTCTTTCAACAAGGGTGGTTGTTACTCCCAACAGGCAGACGAGTGTTTCATGTCTTTTTTCTTTTTTTTTCTGCCGTCTCCTGTGGGTTATCCAGTACAGTCATGTGTCCCATAATCCCTCTGCATAAGCAGTTCTTCAAATCCAGGGGGGGAAGCCTCAGGGCTGTTTTTATATTTCTGCCAACCTCGTGCCTTTTGTATGTGAATTGGTGCACACGGTTGATCTGTATTGAAAATGTTCAAATGTTAACTTATGTGGGAGTTGTTTCCACTGAATGTGAGATGTGTTTTTTGTCACGGAGCAGAAGAGGAAATAGGAATGAATTGGAAGAGAAAACAAAAAGGCTCTTTAACCTTCGCCTCAAGCAACTACTTTCCACTTTACACCTTAATGATGCTGGAAACCTTATACTAGAAGATGGTACATGTGTAGCAGATATATCAGAGTAAAGAGGACTTTTCATGGGAGCGGCTTTTTTCTTTTTTTTCTTTTTTTTTTCTTTGTGTCCTGAGGGATACAAGTGGTGTTCGTCCTGCCTCTAGACAATAAAACTGACCATGTAATTGTCATTAAAGTGACTGCTGGCAATATGATACTGCATGAAAAAGCAATATGTTTAATGTGAATGTGTCAAAAGAAATAATGGCTTGTGACATGCACCTCTCTTTTCTTTAGGTAAATACATTTCCAGCCATTACTGGAAATTTTATGTTGATGTGATATCCCTGAGACTTTGTGTATGCAAACATATGGGTGCTATGCTTGTATTTATGAGGGAACGTCCCATCACCAAACCAATGAGACTGATAGGACAGAGGAGTTGGCAGTGCTAGCCTTTGCAGCACGGACACATTAGCACTTTCTCCTGTTTGTTCTGTCGCACAGTCGCTGCTGCACACACTCGTAAAACCCTTAACTGGGCCTCTCCACTGTAGCTTTACACATTTGTACCTGCAGGTATGTCTCCATGTGTGAGTGATGTTGAGGCAAAGTGAGCCCCAGATGGAAACGCATTTGTGATTCGAGGGACACGTTAAAGAAATCCCCACACGCCCGGTCAGCTGAGAGAAAGACGCTGGGTTAACATCTCAGCTCCTTGTGGAAATGCACATCACTGTGCTAAGCTGCAGCTGGTACATTTCCACTGGGAGTTGACTAACCTGGGATTTCTGGTCATCACAGAGGTGTCCCACCGCCGCCCCCCCCTTCTCCTTCTCATATTCTGCTCTTTTGTGATATTTTATGATGTCTGGCAGCTCTCCATCCCTTCCTACCTCTGTAGTCTTTTCGTCCACAACCGCCCCCTCTCATTTCTGCTTAGTCATCCTTGCAGTAACCAGCCACATAAACAAGCCAGTCAGACCAAATGGCTGACCAGTAAGAAGGGAGTTTGCAAGAGGAGCTCAGACTTTTGCCGTTTTTTTCCTCTTTCACTCTAAATGCTTTCTTTATTAAGTCCAACTGCACTGTACATGTGGCAGCTTGCCAGGGGCCCTACAGGTTATGTACATTTCTGGCCAGTTGTTTGTGCGTCTGTGTGTTTCTAAGGGTCACTATTTAGCAGCTGCATGGTGAATGCTTGCTCTACAGCAACTCCCACCAGTGTCTTGAGACCAGGACACTTGGTAGCCTTGTGTCACATTTCTGCTACTGCAATTCCCTCAGGGACAAGTGGTCCCCTATTATGCAATGTTTCGCACACAGCCAGGGTGCACGCTTGATTTCTCAGAATATGTAGAAACATGCTATCTTTAGACTGGTTTATGTGTCTGGAATAAGGGAGGATACTGTAAATCTATGTGTACGTATAAAATCTTTAGCTTTACACGCCACATGTACCTCAACACTTTAAGACTATATAAGACAATATATAATATACATGGCTACTTATATGATACAATTTAGGCACAGACATCAGACATATTATTTTCATAAGGGATGCAATTCAGGGGCAATGTAGGTTGCTCCCCAATTCATCTTGTAGACTAGATTTATCAACAGACTGAAAGCATTTAAAAGCCATCTCCAAATGTGGCTAAAAAATGCAGTATCACATAATCCAGTGTATCAGGATGTGTCACGTTATCTTAAAGCCACTGCAAGGTCTAAATAAAGAAGGCCAGACACAACCTCCAGGGTTTGTTCTTATAAGCAACTTCAATATGTTGTTAACAACAGAAAATGCAGTCAAAACACCTGCACATATTGTTTTTAGTGCAAGCCCACACACCAGCACGTGTCAGGATACACCATCGTACTGACTTTTTTTTTTATTATTATTTTTTTTTTCCTGCAAATTAATTTCTACTTCTAGTGTTTTGTGCAAATTAGTTTATTCACTTTCTGGCAAAAAGTTTTAGTCATAGTGCAAAACGCTAACTGACTGCTGTACTATACGATCATATCCAATGTGCAGACATGAGCGTGGTATCAATATTCTCATCTAACTAACAAGAAAGCAAATAAGCGCATTTAAAACTATTTCTTTAACAACAGGAAAAGACCCCCCGAACGCTGCATTTTGGTCCAGGTTTTATCCTGGCCGTTTTTATGGACGATGCGTTTTGGTAGATCTTCTAGCTGATGAGTTTGGACTTAGCTATAAAGTCTTTTAACAAAGGCCACTGGAAGGTTTCCTTATGCCTCTCCACCTGTTCTTTTCTATATGACACCAAAATGTTTTTGTTTTTTTTTCTTTTTTGACTTTTGCAGAAAGTAATTTGACTAAAACACACATTGGTTCATTAGTGTGTTTTACTAACACTAATGAAAGCAATGCACATAATAACAGTATTTAACAGAAGCCCGGTACAGCAGGAGTCACCACAGAATTTAATGAACAAGATCAGAAAAGGGAATCAGTAGCTCGATGTAGTCCACCCACAGCACACACAGCCTTACCACCACTCGTGCAGAGGCACACTGTGCGTCAGGCTCTATTTTGGTTTCTGGCAGCTTTGTCAGAGAGGTATTTACACTGATAAAGCCATTCTCACTGACAGGTGCCCATGTTAATTATAGGTGAAGATTGTCTTGCTGTTAAATTGCCTAAAATGTGTGTGTTTACATGGTCAACACCATCTGCATGCTGAAAAACATCCAGGGTTTCTGAATTAAACCATATTTTCCAAAACTTACTAAGAAATGACTGTTGAAATGTATCATATTAAGCTACCGAAAGTGAAACAGTTCAGTCAATTTCACAGCTGAATTAACTTTATAACTACTGCAGTGAGTTGTTTAGTGTCATAGTGTTTCCTGCTGTTTGTATTATGACAATACAGCTTTTTACATGTGGCATTTGTCGCATAACATCATCATGTTTTAGGGAGCTGTTGAGTCATGCAGGAAACCATGAACCCACAGTACAACTAAACCATCATCACTTTGTTCAAACACACATACACAGTGATGGCAGCGTGGCACGAGGGCAGAGGTTATGGAGTTCATGGTGAATGGGCCGGGCAGTCAACGAGAGAGAGGGATTTGCTGGTACATAGTTTTGAGGGCAGCACTCCATGTTTTTGTGTTTGAGTGCATGGTTGGGTGTTTTACCAGGGCAAGAGGTTAAATATCACTGCTATAAGAACTCATAGGCACAGTGACACACACACACACACACACACACACACACACACACATATATTTATAGCAGGAAAACACCTTGAGTTGAGCAAACGTGTCCTGCAAATAATGTTTCTTTTCAGCAAAGCTACGTCTCACTTTACTCAACATCCCTGTTTTATCTTAAGTACTAATTTATTGAATTGCCTCCTGTGTGATGTTAATGTTACAACATGTGAAAAGCAAAGTTTCCTTCCATGCGGTGATACACAGACTCTGACACTGCTTCTTTTTGTCTCGGTAGGAACTGAAAGACCTGACACAGCGAAACGAATGCTTAGATCTAAAAGGTAAGCACTAAAACAACAGCCTGACAAGTCATAGTGAACGCTATAAATGTAACATGTGGGAATCAACAGATACCAAGACTTTTTCATGTTGGGAAATTCATTTTACTGATTTTATAAACTTTTTTTCATACATATAATGCATGAAGAATGATTAATTGACCAGACGTGTGTGTACGTCTTCAGGTGAGAAGCTGGACTACAAATCATGTGAGTCTCTGGAAGAGATTTTGAAGAGGGTCCAGTTTAAAGTGATAGACCTGGAGCAGACCAACCTGGATGAAGATGTAAGAAGATCATGCCTTTTTAAGATCTCTCTGTGCCTCATTCTCATCCTTCATTTCTCTCATGTCTTCTAGCATACTTCCATCTCTCCTCCTTAATGCATGACTGTCTCTCTCTCTCTCCTCCTCTTTCACTGTTGCTTTCTGCCTTCGATGACACTCTGATCCTCTCTTTCACTCTTACTGCACTGGCAGGATGTGGACTGTTTGTCATGGGTTTTCTGATTACTCCAGATGTCCACTTGTGTAAACACCATTAGGGACGTTTGGGTTGTAGACACGCACAGATAGAGACAGTGCTGCAGTGTGGAGCGGCGGGGACACTTCCTGTCCCACAGTGCTCCAGATATACTGTACAGTACTGTGTGTCACACACAGACACAAGAGCTGCTTTTAGCCGGAGTCACACAACATATGTTTCTGTAGGGTAGGAAGGGTCACTTTAATTACTCCTCATTATTTTATTTCTGTCTGGCAAAGCCATGTCAGTAGTTCACCCTTTAACCACAGATTCAATTAAACTGAGTATGAATTAAAGGCACCCTGGGGAGTTTTTGACCATTAGTAGCACTATGAAGCAATGTGTTTCAGAGTTGGTCCCCATTTTGTTTGTATCATGTGGATGCACGCAAGGACAGCCACGCACCTGCACTCAGGCCATGACAGGATACACACTGCCAGTCGTTTTTTACTGTTCCAGTGATCGACAGTCGATGGCGTTAACGGGCCAAAAAAATGTGTAGCAACTCATCAATAAAGACTAGGAAAAAGAAGACCGCTTGCAGGTAAACGTGGATGTACCTTTGCCATAGAAGCATGTGAAAGGGGCTTTTGAAATGGCTTTGAACCCACAGAAACTCCATTTTGAGAGCTAATGAAACTCAAGTTTTACAAATGTCTGAGCAACAACCAAATTTGATTATATGATTTACGGGGGGCAAATAAAAAATATCTCCAGACTGTAACTACAACTACATTGTTTCTCCTCTGCCTACCTGTTGAGAGGTAACGTTACGCTGATGTAAAGTGGTATCGGTGCGTTTTATGATCACAAATAAGAGTCTATGAGCACAGCACAATACTGATATCGTTATCTATGCATCCCTAAGGATTTAGTAGCAGGCAATACCAATGTCTCAGTGGTCATTATTGTATAGCATGAGGGACTGAATAAGTGGTCCCAGCTGTTTTTGTGTTGAGGGTGTGTTATCGTCTTGTGTTTTTAGCTTTTGTTTATTGTTTTTCCCACTTCCTAAGTTTATTATAATCTAATCAAAGTATAACTGATCAAAAAGTTATACCTCATTTACACCTAGCATTAAAATACTATCTCTATCTGGAAAATGTCTCTGAATAAGGAAAAGCACATGTTAATGTCAGGTGTGAATGCATGCAGTACGCATTACGATAACAACATGGTCTGATCAGCAGATCACACGTGGAGGTGTAGAGGAACCACATTCCTATTCAAAAACAATCTGCCAACAAGTTGAAATGTAACCTAACTCTTTCTGCTAGCTTAAGCAAGCCAGGCAGAAACTACAAGTAGTAGCTAACAAGTCTTACTTCACAAAGTGATTTAGAAACAGTTGGTGTTCATTGCATTTCTTCCCTTGACCTGGGACATGTCACATCCACCAGCTTCACTTAAGATACTGTATTGAGATATAGCTCAGATACAGTATGGTGATGAGGGCAGAAGGTGTCTATCTGTGTTAGCCCCGAGATGGACACCGTTTTCTCATTCTGCCCAGTGGATATACGTCCAGCGCTACGACATGGCATTGACAAATACAACACATCATCTAGGTTAAAACAGAAAAAAACAGATTTTATCCAGTTATATTCAGGAAGGTTTGATTGTGTAATTTTATGTCACCTGACAATAAATATATATATATATATATATATATTAATATGAGGGAAATATACAGGCCTCCTTAATCCCACATGAATCTCACACTGAGCTCCTCTAAAAGAGCAGACATGATACACGATGAGAGGTTATGAAGGTTTTTTTTAATTTATTTATACACAAAGCAAAATGCAAAGCAGTCGAACTCTTGAACAATATTTTACATAATGTTTTAAAGAGATTTTTAACATCTTAGATGCATAAATCCAGAGCCTCACATAATCCAAACAAATGCAGAGTGACGTGCGCACTTTTCTCACCCAACATGTAACACTGCCCCGGAAATGTGAATGAAGTAGCTGAATGAGTCAGTGATTGAGTCACTGAAGAGCGGAATTGTGTCTCGCCTGTGGCTCCGATGAAATGAGAAGCCTAAAGGGGAAAATATTGAGGAAGTGTTGCTAGAGAAGAGAGGAAGGTGGGATTGAAAAAGAATTGAAAGGGGAAGTGAGAAGATGGGTTAATCTTTGAAGTGTGCGTGAGAAACAGAGAGCAGAGGACTAGATTTGGCAGAGCTTCATATCTGCAGTCTTGTTGGGAAAGATTTGGGAAGATGAAAGCAGAAAAAATAATTTTTGTTTTATGTTTTAAGGAGCATGGGGAGAAGCGGGCATGGGGAGCACTAACACAAGCTCGCTTTTATTGGACTGGATGTGACTCATCTTCCCCCACCCTGTAGATAAACACTCTTGTGTATACTCGGTAATGTCTCCCAGTATACACACACAAAGGGGAAAAGGTTATGAGACACTATGCAACAGTCTGTCTGTTTTTGTTACTTCTCATCAGCCTCAGTAGAGCATAAACTCATATGCTCATACTCCCATTTCTTAATCTGATCCTACAATTGGCTGCACAGGAGCAAAAATGCATCACTGGTTGTTGATTTCTGTGGGAGGGAAACAGAATCCACACACAGCGATCCAGTTGGTAATTCCTCTGTTAAAATATGGTAATAACTCGTTACGTAATGATAGCAAGTGAAAATATGCCGAAAAGCAAAACAACCAAGCATCCACCTCCGCTGTAGTGTCATCAACACCTTTTTTATAGTCAGTATATCAGTGGTGGATGAAAGAGATCCACCCACACAGCACCACCAAAACCAAAATTAGATTAAAACTCTCTGATCACGAGGGCACTTTGGTCTGTTGCTGCATCACCTGACATTTCCCTTCAGTCCTGCGTCTGCTCCTTATTCAACAGAGTGTGATGCCCTATGACTCTTAATCCACTGATTTTTACACAGTTGGCCTGTAATGAATCATGTACTTGACACTATCTATAGAATATAGCTGAATTGACTAATCAGTTAACTGATTACTTGTTTGACAAAAACTTCATTAGCGACTCTAAAAAAAAGTAAAACATCACCTTGAGTAACGTCTGTGCTTGCAGTTTTTGTAAATTAATTGATTAATCTAAAAAGTAATCTGCAGATTAATTAAAATAGTAATTTATAAATAATCACCAGTTACAGTTTCATTCAAGTATCCATAAGAAGCCGTTACACTGTTCATTTTTACCTGTTCACTGACGTCTTATTTGCAACTGTAGACAGTGGCCCTGACGGGTGTCTCTTCACCCCCACCTGAGGCCCTCATGGAAACACCTCAGCAGGTCTCTCCTATCTCGAGGGACTGTTACCGTGGCAACTGCAGCTGCTTCAGGCTGTATCTTGTGACATTTCTTTCAGGGTTTCGACACTGACCAACTGCAAGATTGGTTTTAAACTGTTGGATTTTAATCCGAAATTCCATAATGGTTTATATCTTTCTCCCGTTCTCTTTGGCTCCTTTCTCTCCCTCTGTGCTTCTCAGGGTGCTTCAGCTCTGTTTGACATGATCGAGTATTATGAGTCAGCCACACATCTCAACATCTCCTTCAACAAGCACATTGGCACGCGGGGATGGCAGGCCGCAGCTCATATGATGAGAAAGGTGAGAGATCATCCTCCCTCTACAGTAGTCCTCCAAAATGATCACAAGATAGATAGATACTTTATTTATCCTGAGGGAAATTCAAGATGTTACAAGACATAAAACAGACATAAAATGTTGAACATAAAATCACTGCAAATTAAACCATAAAATATCCACATAAATACACCTAAATACAGCAAAAACAGATCAGTCATGCATAATCCTAAAATAATGATACTACAAATCCAATCAAAAATGTAAATCTAAGATTGATTAAACGCATTTGTTTTCAATATTCCTATTTCCGGTTTATTTCCTATTTTATGATGGCAGTGAAGGACAATAAAAGTAATAATTTGTAAAATATAAAGTGGCTGTGATTCACTGGTATGAGTGTGTTTGTCGTCTTCAGCGAGAAAGACTATGCAATATTTTGTGTTATGCACTTTGTTTGGCCAGAGAAGAGGATGTTTGGTCTTAAATACTACTGACTTAAAGTCAAGTCTTCTCCTCTACTTCTGTAATTGTATCTTCGTGCCCAGGGGAGAAAATCGATCTTTTCGTTGTTTTTTTATCTCTGGCTGAACTTGTGTCGTGCAGCGCTGCAGGTTTCTGTCAGCACTTGCAGAATAAGGGTCGGTCTTTCCTTGCTTGCTCTTCCAGTCTTGCCTGTGCCCTTTACGCTGCACTTTGACGTCAGTCATCACTTATTACTGTTAGGAATACAAATGGGTTGTCAGGCAAACACATTAATATATCACCTTTGCAGCAGTATATATGTGAGAAAACACATGGATACAAACAGCTGCTGGTTAGTTTTCTGTTTGTTTGTTTTATTTGAACAAAGCATCTGTTGGACATATTTGTGTATCAGAGGAATATAGACGATAAACTAATTTCATTTTTTATTTGTATTGATCTTTACTGTATGATAGTTTAAATTGTAGGAGAAAGTGTCAAATAATAATTTTTAAAAATCCTAAACCAAATGTTGTAAATTAACAATTATTGAAAATCAATTATTGTCATTTGTATATGAGGTTACTAGATTGTGGTGTTTGTGGATATCTTGGCTGACGTCCACTGCCAGTCCTGGCACCATGAACAACACTAATCTGTTTGCCAAGCCACAAATTACTTCTAGCCTTTATTATTGATATTGTGGTCTATTTACTTGTTTTCTAAGATCCGGTTCATTACTTTCCCTCCTGGAGGGGAAAATAAACAAATAATCTTAATTACAGTTACTAATAACTTATGTTTACAAAAATATATGAGCACCACAGTCGTTCTGTAATCAGAACTATGACTGTGTTTGTACCAAAAGGCATTCCCATGTCTATAAACTTCGAGTGCCTGAAGACACCGCACATACAGTCCAGTTTGAGGATTGTTTGTGTCGTAGCTTGTCGATAAAAAGTTATAGTAGCTAATTTCAGGAAAGTCGAGTAAATCTGAACTCACTGATGCGTTGGACAAGTGCGTGTCCTTGAATCCCTGAGGGATTAAGCGGATGAAAAGTGCTTCTATCTGGGCAACAATGTGCATACACGTCATCTTTGTCATTCACATCTGCTCATTTGAGGATAATGTTTTATGTATGGGGTTGGATTAAACTCTTAGTTGTCATCAGATTACTAAAGCGGCTATATAGGAATATGAGTTGAAGGTGTCCAACTAGAAGATAGACAATGTATGTTTATTGTCCCTGGTCTTTATAATTGTGTTGTTTTATTGCACAAAGATGTTTTTTGTCACAATAATTAGGACATTATTTCACTCACTATACATTTCTGATTTGGGGTTGTGCACTTTTATCCGAACATACCTAATTAATTGTATCCCTGTTGGTGTTTCCCCCTCAGACGAACTCTCTGCAGTATCTCGATGCACGTAACACTCCCCTGCTGGACCACTCGGCTCCCTTTGTAGCACGAGCACTCAGGATCAGTGGCAGCCTGGCAGTCCTCCACCTGGAGAACGCTGGCCTGTCTGGCAGACCGCTCATGTTACTGGGTAAGAGGGTGTGCAAGAGGAAGAGGAGGGGTTTCTCTTTCCAACCCCGCCTCCAGTATCAAAGAATCCTAATCGCTGAATTTAGTCGTATAGTCCTTCAATTTTTTTTCTTTTTTCATTCACATCTCCCTCTTCTTTCTTTGTCATATATTTTCCTGGACAGCTACGGCTCTGAAGATGAATATGAACCTGCGGGAGTTGTACCTGGCAGACAACAAGCTCAATGGCCTGCAAGACTCAGCCCAGCTTGGCAACTTGCTCAAGTTCAACTACAACATTCAGATCCTAGACCTGCGTAACAACCACATCCTAGACTCTGGTACACAGCAGTGAAAGAGCACTAACACATACAGTAGCACAGCAGCAGTTTTATAGTCTTGTATGTTTTCTCAAGGTGAAACTTGTTTTGTGAAAGAGGTTTCTTTGTGTGTGAGCCTCAATACCTTTTACATAAACTCAAGATAAGATGAGAGGGTTTTTTTATCCTTGTGGGTAAACTATTATCCGAACATGATGACTGAGAAAATAAAGGAAACACTTGGTTGAATTAGTTGGTGAAATATGAGAAATGCAGTTGCTTTCATACAGGACATAAGGAGTCTTTGAGTGGTTTGATGAGAATGAAAATCGTGTGAATCAGTTGAACACCTTGGAGGTTTGTGTTGATCTTCCCTTTTAAATTATGTTTGATAATTTATCTTAATTTAAATTCCCTGCTCAGGCTGGGAAACAAATAAGTTAGTAATGGTATTAAATTTACAGCATTATGTGGCCAAACCCTCTCAAATATCCCCATGTGGAGGTCTGCGTAACATACTGACTAATGAGCTTATAATAACGTCCAAGTGTTGCTGTTAAAAATTAGTTTTTTTGTTTTGCTTTCCACCACTACACACAGTATTTATCTATATTTGATCAATAGAAACAAACACAACACTGAACTCATTCCAGCTTTGTGAGATGAATTCAGATTTAAAAGTTGGTTTCCAGATGCAACATGTGACATGTCATTGTGCTCTTAAAACTACCTAAGGCCCTTCGATTTTGTTTGTTAGTGATTTTCAAGGAGAAATTCCCAGACCGATCAGCTTAAACTGAATTTTATGTCCCCATTCATTCCCAAATATGTTTGTCCTCCTGCTACTAGAACAGCTTAGAAAATGCTTTTTTATAACAGAAAGGGAATTTTAAAAATACAAGAGAAAAAGAAAGATTATTATAGCTGCATTGATGATATCTTACATCATATTAAACCTACTACAAGAAGTTTTTAACTGGTTATGAAACAGTCTCAGTTTAATACCAAGCCTCTATATGGTCTTTATAAACACATCAGAACATCAGCGAGAAGATTGGCCTTTTTCTAAATAGTTATTCTTAATACCTGAAACCAGGTCTAATTCCCCTTGAAATCAATGAGAGAAGGAGATGGAAACACTACGTCTTTTGTCCACAGGGGCCCCCAGAAGTTTTAGCTACAATAAAGGGATTTTAATTATATAACCAAAATAGAAAAACACAAGTAGAGGCTTAACAAAAGTTACTATAAACTCCTGTGAATGATGCGTCTCGATCAGTATACATTTGAAAAGGAGCTTAGCGGTTTCACAGACTCCCACTCAAAGTGGAGGCTGGGGGAGTTGGGCAACCCTCCTCTGATTAAATGGAGTTAACAGTCGTTTCTATCTCAGCATTTGTCCTTAACATGTAAAGGGTGATGTAAAATAAAATGCCGATTTTTATAAATTAAGTAATAATGTCAATTTTATAAGACTAGCGTTTCATCACAGTATAGTCATATGAATCAGTTTACAACTCAAAGAACACAGTTTTAGGGCGGAGTACCTCTTTAAATACAGATATACTAACTCTGCTTGTCATCACAGGTCTGGCCTACGTGTGTGAAGGACTAAAAGAGCAGAGGAAAGGCCTCGTCACTCTGGTGCTATGGAACAACCAGCTCACACACAACGGCATGGGCTACCTCGCTGCTGCACTGGTACACACACACACACGCACACACGCACACAATAAAGCCAGCCTGCACACACATTTATCAGCTGAGGCTGGGAGAATTAAATTTTCTCCTCATTACTCAAGTGATCAAAATAGAGCTCTGCTGTTTGTTATATCTGCTTTCTCCTCATATCTGTTCATGTTGGGCAGCTGGACCTCAACTTACTTCCACATGTGCACGTTTTACCGTAGCAACTACACCTACTATTTGTTTGTTGTTTAAGGAAAGTTTACTAATAAAAAAGTCAATATTTGCTGGAATAACGACAGGTAGTAAACCAACCATTCAGCAATCTTCCCAGTCACCACCAGCATGCATTTGCAGCTTCTGGTTTGTTCCCCAGTTAACAGTACAGAGATGAAGCCTGAGGGATCTTGTTTAAAACAAATTAAAAAAAAATTTGCATTTACTTTGACATTGTTAGATGAATGACTCATATTTGCATTTCACTAGAGAACCCGCTATCTGATTTCCTTGTGTAAACTTGAGAGTGACGGGTGTGTAGGTAAGAGATTAACAAGCTGTGTAGAGAGCTGTTATGATGTCTGATATGAGCGGCCATTTCCACGTAAGCGCCTCATTGATACACGTGACATTTGTAGACACGTCTCCCTCACTGATGTGAGCTCAGGCTCCGGTCTTCATGCAGCACCATTTCTCTGGTGTTGGTTTGATTTCACAGCAGTCTGCTGTAGATAATCCATTTCTAAAGTCATTGGTCTCATGTCCGTTGTTGAGTGATAACGTCATTATCTCCACACTTATTGTTCACTTGTTATTTTTGTACAACAGTGTTTAAATTTAGACATTGCTGAGTCATTGCTGCCTCAGCCTTGTCAGAGTAAGATAAAACATTTCCTTTTAAGTGCCATAAAATAAAATTTAAAAAAGCTATACAGCATAGCCCAAAAAAGGAAAAAGAAATATAAATTTCAAAGAAATAATTCAATAGGATTTAAATAATAAAAACAATTTAAAAAAGAAGAAAACCTTTTTTTGTAAAATATATCATTGTAACACACAGCTGCTTCACTGATGCTTATGTTGTGTATAAACAGTTTACTGGTATTACTTACTTCATCCAGATAAGTGTCTATATAGTTCGTCTAATCAATAAATGTAATAACAATGCTCAAAGAAATTGATCTAAAAAAGAATCATCAGGACTTTAAGTGAAGTGACTGTTAACTATTGATCAGATCAGGAAGTTTTATAGATTTTTACTAAAGTAGAAGTCTAACTAATGAAAGCCTTTAACATCTCATGTGTTCTTAATTACGACACACCAGTCAACTTATTTTTAGAAAATCCGATGGTTTTGCTTTTAGATTGTAAAATGCTGCGTTTTTGAGCTCTTCCAAGAATTTTGTCTGATGATGCTTTTTATTGAGGCTTGCAAGATGTGGCAGGACACACAAAAATGGCCCAAAACCCCCTCTCATACTGATGAATAGCATCCCATGACTGTCCTGGCTGCTGATTCAGTTAAGTATAGTGCAAAAGATGTATTTCAGGTCTCAAACCAACAGCAGCACAGCACTGGCACTCACTGGGAGGTTTAAATAGGCAGTCCGCATATTAGCAATAGCTTACAGGAAGGATAATTGGAAGAACTCTCATAAATCATCTCATGAAGTAGTAAACTGTGTTCTGCAAGGGAAATACCAATCTATTCCAGAGGGACTTTCAGTAATGTCAGAACTCTGTCTCCACACACTGAAAAAATCCCAAATGCATCACTGAGGTAGAAAAGCTACTGCATAAACACATACTGTAGCTGCCAGAAAGATAGAAGATACACTAAATATTTTACAGTTTACTGGCTCATATCATTATACACAGGTTACATGAGCACCATGAAACACATTCTGGACATTTTACACTTAATATTCACTTTCACAAAAGAAGATCCCACACACTGTTCTTGCTCAGAATCACAATTTATTGATCGTACTAAAGTTTGGGTCCCTCTGGACCAGCGGTGAGTGACCTTTGCTTTCAAAAGAGCCACAGAACAGATTTGAGCCTTGTAATGCTAATTTCTTGCTGCAGATCAAGCTACCAATACCGGTATGCCAGAAGAGTTGGTTGTGAAAGCAAACAAATTGCTCCACACACTATTAAATTCCTAACCTAACTACAGAGTTTTTTTGTTTGTTTCTTTACGGCAGACTCAAGACTAGTAATCATCAGTATAGAGGTTTTTACAATTTAAGAAAGTAAGAATCACTTTAGGCCTACAACAAAGATAAATGAAAATAATCATTATTCATTTCCATATTATATTTTGTTAAAGCCACAGGGAGCCACTGGAGAGGAGCTAAAGAGCTGCAGGTTGTCTACACCTGCTCCTTATCAGCAGTGTTTTAAACAGTTCTTACAACATTGATCTTAAATTGATCACGCTCCGCCCCGTCTGTGTGCACGTGTGCGACAGTTCTCCTATAGGAGTGTCTCTTAATAATCTGTCACATTATATATTTCACATAAAAGAAAAAGATAAGAGAGAGGCATGACACACTATGAAGTCACTTAATATTATCATAATCTCAGTTAATCATCCCATTACTGAAGTTAATCATCCCATTACTAAAGCATTTTCATGTTTCCCCTGTTCACCAGCTGTTAAAGCTTAAGATTATTCTAAACAATGTGGTTTTGTAACTGCACTCCCCCGTCATTAAACAAACACTCAATTGTACACAAATATATCTCTGTTCACATTCTCAATGCATTTCATTCTCCCCTGTTGTTTCAGCCATGCACCCAAAGTCTAGAGACTCTCAACCTCGGCCATAACTCAGTGGGTAACGAAGGGGTCCATAAGCTGAAAGACGGACTGATTGCTAACCGCTCTGTGCTGAGACTGGGCCTCGCTTCCACCAAACTGTCCTGCGAAGGTAGGAACTAGTTCCTGTGTGCCTGTGCTTCAGTATTTGTGGAGGATTTTTTTCCCCGTGTTTTGACTCCTATTTCTTTACCGTCATGTGCTATAGGAGCTGTGGCTGTGGCTGAATTCATCGCTGAGAGCCCCAGACTGCTTCGTCTGGACCTTCGAGAGAATGAGATCAAGACAGGTGGACTGATGGCCCTGTCGCTCGCCTTGAAAGTCAACACCTCTCTGCTGCGTCTCGACCTTGACCGGGAGCCCAAGAAAGAAACTGTGAGCAATGGGGACAAAGTATGGGGGAAGGGGAAAGAGGAGAAGAGGAGAAGAGCTCAACACATTTGAGTCCCTCCCAAATACTACATCCTGTTGCTACAAATCAGCAGTTTAAATTAATCCCAGAGAAATTAAAGTACACATCTATGACCTGTTTTTTAAGATGTATGTCTTCAGTAGTGATGAATGGGCTATTGACAGCGTAGGAAGTCACAAAAAAGTCAGAAAGTCTATTGTTTGTGGGCCGCAAGTCAGTCCCCCATCCTCCCTTCCAGACGTAATTAATCCGTTTACATATACAGGTTTAACACACGTAGACTTTCATACTCGCCCACATATCCAAATACTACGTCTCCATGCGTACCTTAACTCTTATTAAAAAAAGAACAAAGGGAGCTTACATTTCCATTATTCCTATCAAGAAGAGGAAAGGAGCGTGAAACATCAGTGGAGTCATACAAAGTCTGCTTTTGGTCTTTTCATTGGATTTTGTTATTGTATAACTACACTAGCCTTAGCCTTGTTTTTTTTTAATGAATTTTATGCTTTTGTTAGATAGCTAACAGTGGAGAGATGACAGGAAATGAGGGTAGAGGGAGAGGGGCCACCAGGGTGCCCCCAGCTATAGACTTTTAAATAAAATTATGTTTTGAAAGAAAGATAATATTACTGACTAAAACAGCAGATTGAAGAAAGGAATTGCTTTGATTTAGTTGTTTCGTGGTTTATGTTACATGTTTTTTATCTCTCAGGTGAAGAGCTTTATTGAGACCCAGCGCGCCCTGCTGGCTGAGATCCAGAATGGCTGCAAGAGGAACTTCATCCTGGCCAAGGAGAAGGAGGAAACAGAGCAGAAGATGAGGCAGTCGGCATCCATGGCTGAAATCGCCACAGAGGATGGGACCACAGAAGAAGAGGAGCAACCAGCATCAGAGGAGAGTGGGGACACGCAGGGGAAAGAGGGAGAAGGAGGTGAAACGACAGGAAATGAAGGACAGACGAGCAGCCAGTCAGGAACGAGCTCTGAGAAGAGTGTTCCTCAAATGACCTTGGAGTCGGACTCAGACACTGAGGATGAGGAGGAAGAGGAGGTGGTAACAAATTCCTCTTCTACGTCAAACTCGTCCACTCACTTAAACCAGACTGCTCCCCAAACCCAGCCAGGGGTTGCACAGCCCCTCCTCAGTGCCTCACGTACGTCCTCTTCCCCGTCGGCCCCGCCTGCCAGCGGGCCGAGTGTCATTTCCAGCATCACCATCACAGAATCAGCAGTTCCTCCCGGCACCCCGCCATCTCCTGGTCGCTGTATATCTGTCTCCAGTCCAGGGAGGGGTCATAAGATCTTCATGGTAACTCGGGTGGAGAGCCCGCCTGAGCAGCAACAGCTACAACTCCAACTAAGCGCACCTGCAAACCCCAGCCTGGCCAAAGAGGCCTCAAAGAAGCCTGTAGACGTGAACATGACACAGCAGACACAGCCGCCACCCGCAGCTCAAACACCTACACAAACACAACTGACACAGGAGGACGGGAAGGAGAGCTCACCTGCTCCGTCAACAGACTGTAAACTGACAGACCAGAGTCCTGTAGCACACTTAGAGTCCACACCAAATACTACACAGACCCACACAATAGAGCCACAGTCTACAAGTCAACCCACAGAGGATGTGACCGCTAGCACTTTAGACCCAGAGGTGACAGATCCAAGTCAACAAGCACCAGCCCTGCCTTCAGATTCCTCAGCAGTGCAGCTCACTGAGGAGGTAACAGAGAGCACTAAAGCCCCCCAACATGAGCCCACTTGTGTAGAAGGAAAGAAGGAAGGAGAAGAGGATGGTCGTACAGAAGATGAGGGACAGGTGATGTCCCCTGATAGCACAGAAGGAGAGTGTAAAGAGTTAGACGAACTGAGTCAAACGCAGCTGCAGCCGTTACCATCAGCTCTTGCACAGCTACAAAGTGAGCTAGCATCTGCATCAGAGGAGACACATGCGCAGAACCAAACAGAGGAGGAAGAGGCACTGGAGGAAGCACCGGCCAACTTGTCAGAAAATGAAAAACCCAGTTTAACAGAGAACGACTACAGCCAGCCAAGCCAAGGGGAACCGTGTCCAAAGCAGCAAACGGAGGCAGATGAGCAGGGAGTACAGCCTGTTCTCTCTGTCCAGACTGATCAGCAAGCACCATCTGTCACTCAAGGTGGAGCTCAGGAGTCAAATCCTCCAGCCGAAGAAGCCTCAGAGAGTCCCATACCTGCCTCAACCGTGTCCGTCTCCCCAGTCGAAGAGGAGGATTCACCCGATGAGAGCTCTGCAGACGAGGGCGAGTGCTTTGCTGAGGCTCCAGAAGAGGTCATCGGTTCAGCTCTGCCCAACGGCCTGAAGCCGGAGTTCTCCCTCCATCTTCTTGACACTGAAAGCCCCAAGCCCGGCAGCTGTGTGATGGAGCACGGTGAGTTGCTATAATCTCTCTATAATATCTATAAATAGTGTGCGGTTGGTTTTGGGTGTGAAAATTCTGTCTTGGTAATGTGTGTTTTGTGTCTCTTGTGCAGTGAGTGTCAGCTGTGGACAAGACCTGGAGGAGCTGCTGCTAGAGGCCAGTCTGGAGACGGGGAGAGACGCACCATGAGGCTGTGAGGTAAACATTTATCTATTTATATGTACAAAACAAGTAGTTTCCATGAAACAGGGACTTCTGCTTGCAGAATTTACTTCCTCTAAAGCACTTTATCTCTATTAGTGACTTCACGATGAACAAGGAGGTTTGAATATTAAACAATACAATGAAAAATATCTTCTTCCTTCCTATAATTAAACTGCCTTTCTTCCCTTAAACAATATCCCATTGGTCTATAGTTTGCACTGATCACTCCCTCTGTTTGGTCCTGACATCCTCACTATGAAAAACATCTCATTTAGGAAGTAGAAATATAATTGTATGGATTATTTAAAGGAAGATTACTTTTGTAGCTCTGGGCATCTTTTTTATCTGTTGTGATAATATCATACTCACTTTTTTTTAAACACATTTTCTGCACAATGAGTGATTTTTAGTGAAATTGCAGCAGGAACTAACTTTTGGTTTTGGACTTGATAAACTGTTGGCTTACTTGACAGTGTAAAGGTCTAAAAGTGTAAAGGTATGTGTCCACAGGATCAGTCATTTCCACGCTTTCCATCCATTGTCCATGTGAGCAGCAATTCAGTGTATTTTTGCAGCGCCACTGTACATCACGTTGGCTGCTCCTCATTTGCATACTGTAGAGGTCTAGGCTACTTTATGCAAATCAGAGGAGTCCGGCACCTCTTGAATCTCGTCGAAAACTGTTTAAACTAACCTCTGTCGATCTAAAATGAAGACAGATTCAGCGACTGCATGGCTTATTTCTCGCTTAAATTGTTTTCAGAAACTCATGTCAGTGAGCTATTTTTGTAATATGCGAGAAAGTTTCCAAATGACCATGCTGGTCTGTTTTGAAATCCCGGAGCAGAAAACCTGTTCAATCTGGTGCAGCCAGAAGTTGTAGCCTTTTGTGATGACAAGCGTCCAATGCTGGGAAGCAACACGAACCGTTGCGTCCAAAAACGCCCCTGTGGACACGTACCATAAGGCTGGCAGTATCCTCAGAGTTTTACATGTATGTGTGCAGCCAAAATGGCATTTAATGCTGACAAAACATGCTGCCAGAAAGTGCTGTAATGGCCTCAGACACCACAGTGTGCACAGATTGAGCAGAAAGTTTTCACCTTCAATAAAATGGAGAATTTTAAAAACCTAAAGAGGCTGTGTGTAATCATTCGAAGTTAAAACTGCATCCAGTCACCCATAGTGACTCAAACATGAGTCATACATAGAGTCATGGATAATTACGTTTGGTTTTACATGTTCTCTGCTACATTTGGGACTAATTTATCTCCTCTCTTCTGCTTCCACAGGGACGGTGAGGACAGGAGATAACAGCACTCAGATAGTTTGGTCTGGCTCTACTACATGACTGGTTGCCCTACAATGTTTTTGTCGTTTCTTTGACTTTACCACCTACACCACCTTTCCATAAAGGACCGAAGACCTGGTGTTACAGGGGAAGCTCTATACATGAAAATATAAGCATATAATTATGGAAAGACACAAAGGACAAAATCAACTTCTCGAGCTTGGCTGTGACCAATAAGGACATCCACACTACATCAACCACTGAAACTCACATACATATGCACATTGAGTATGAGGAAGAGGGGACGGGGAAAGAGAAATAAAATCACCCTGTTATCACTACATTTTGTCAATCTGCAATCTTTACAAAAAAAAAAAAAAAAAGCAGCCGTCTGTGAGTGAGAAAGACGAGAGATGGGGGACAAAGGAGGGAGGGTAAAACACTAACCAAAGACAGAACACAGACCTTTCTCACAGCCCTGCTTTGATGTCTTGTGTAGATTTCCACTGTATTTGGGGAAATAACTAGCAGTTTTCGTCACAACACACACACACACAAAAAGACATTAAGGGTGATAATGAGAAAAGCGGGGTTGATGGCACAGTCGGAAGACGAAATAACGGTGGCGGACCCTGCTGAGCGGACCTGCTGGCTTGGAACACTTGTTCTGGAGGTGGAAGTAGGTCACTGTCAAAGGGTTTTATATTTAAGGAAGCTGAAGATGTTAACGTATCTGTTTAAATGTCAACGTTTTATGTATGTGTCCCCCACTCTCCCGACTATTCTCCCCCTTTGAAAAAGAAAAAAAAGAAACCCTAAAGGACCTCTGCCAAAGTGACTTCCCTCTTGTGTGTTTTCTCTGCTCACTTTGGCCCCTCAGGAATCAGCGTCTCCCCCACCCCTCCAGTCAGTCTCCTCAGATATGATGTGGAGGAGCTGCAACTGTCTTCCCCACCCCCACCCCCCGACCCCCGCCTGCCTCCGCTACAACAACAAAACAAAACAAAAAAAAAGCTTTCTGAAAGTCAGTCGGTAATTTGCTCCCAGCTTGAAAAGCCCAGAACTTCTGCGTTTATTTACAGTACAAAAATACAAACGTATTCTTTTCCTTGATTCTCTAAAACTTCAGACTCTGTTATCGCTCTGTTCGACCTCCTGATCATTGTTGTGTTAAACTCAGCTCTGTCTTTATCTCCCCTCTCCTTCCTCCTGTCCCTCTGTCTTCCGCTGGTACTTTGTGCCATCTCACCTCTCCGCTCCAGCTCATCATTCATGTTGCCTTCAAACTCACCACTGCAGATTCAGTCTTTGTTTTTGTTTTTTTGTTTTTTTTGTTTGGCTGCTTTGAGAAATCAGATATTTTGTATTTATTTTATAGATATATGAGCCTTCTCTGATTTAATTTTCCCCTTTTCTTCATTTTATCTTTTCTTTTCCATTTGAGGGGTTGCTTTTAAAGATTAGCCCCATTTTTTTGATGTATATTTCACATTCAACCTAGAGCAAAATATTTAGTTTTGTTTTTTTTCTGGGGGGAGGGGGGTTAATCTGTGTTGGGAGGAAAGATAAATATGATTGAATGGTTGACCATGGTAGCAGTCAGGGTGCAGTAATGAAAGCAAACGCAAGGAAGCGGCAAACCTAACAGTTCTCATCAAAGTCCTTGTTGTTTTAACACTACTCTGCTGGGTGAGGGTGCAGCCACAAGGGGGCGCTGGTGGTGTTGTTTTCCTACAGTGGAGACTGAACTACAGGATATCACAGTCTGAACAGCATCACACTCGTTACACTGCCAGCGCTGATGTCTCTGTTCAGATCCAATTTCTATCCTGAATTTCCCAGAGCAAGGCAGTAAAACTTTACATAAAATGTCAACTTGTTTGTGAAGAGAGTTGGTTTAACCTGCTTTGAGTTTTTTTTCTTTTCCCCCCTGAAGCAAACACGCAGGCAGGTGTGATGTTAAAAGGAGCAACCTTTGACCCTCCTGCTCCTCTCCACCCAACAGATAGTTTGCCCCACTGTTTGTTTATGCTTTAATTTTTAGAAATTTTTAATAATAATTTGTTAACTTAATTGAAATGTGCTGGTAATCACAAAGATATGTATGGCGAAATTTGTTCCTCTCAAATAAATGCATGTAATGACTAATGATACGACTGAATGTTTCAATCTCACTCAGTTTGGCACTTCAAAATGTCTGGCCTCTGCTTAAATTACATGAAGAAATGTGTTCAGTTCAGAAAATGGGGTTGAAAATGTTAATCACAGACCAGTTCAGCAGAGAATAGAGTCAATATATCACTTGAAACAATATTAAAAAGTATATAAAATATGTTTTTTATGTTAATTAGTAGCAAACAATCAACAATGATGTGTTGTGTTGAGTGATAAATGGGCTGTCAGTGCAAACAGATCCACATTGGACCTAAAACCACAACCTGACACTGGTTCCCAACCTGTGGAGAGAAAAGCCAGTTTCCCGCCAGGAAGATGTGATGTTGTGATCACAATTAACAGAAATTCAATTTATCCCCTTTAAATTCTGTGTGACTTTGTCCAATCACTGCAAAGTTTGAGCAAATTTGACCAATCAGTGTCGTTTCTCACACAAAACATTGAGTCATACGTCACCAAACACTTCTTTGTTTCTACTTTGTCTCACATTTACCCTCCAAACCTTTTTGCAAGGTTACTTGAGTTACGTGTGATTTTATCCTCAATGGAACAAGTTTCCTTAAATAACAAGTTATACAAAAAAAGGTCACTGTTTTAGCAATTTTCACTTTCCTGCAGTTTAATTGCTAAACAAAAATATTACAACATGCGTAGCTTTTTTTTTTTAGAAAAGCTGGCCATTTTAGGCCTGAAAACAATCCTGTTTCTGCAACCCCAAATCACATTTTTCAGACTAGATACTGCTCTTATCTTTGCTTTGGTTTCTTTAGATAATATTATGTGTTCCAGACCGTTTTATATAAAGAATTATTAAGTAAAGACCAAGAGCCTACAGCCACGCTAGCAGCTCAGTGAGGCTGCTCTTATGCTGAGTCATCTAGGATGGTTCATTCATTACAGAGGAGGTCCTTTGAGGATTAAAACACTATTAAATATTGACAGTGTGACTTCATATCCACAAAATTTGGGTTTAATTAGATTTAACCATCTTTTGCTGATGCGGGGCACCATATTTGTTTGGTTTTAAGGTATGTTTGATTATTAAACACACTATTTATGAATCAGAAAATAAAGTCTTGTATCTCTGTGCTAATTGTTCATTTGTATAAAAAATCTCTTTCCTGTTGCTCAGGATCCTAATCCTGAATGTGCTCCTGTGGGGATTTTATATCATATAACCCATCAAATAAAACTACTTGTCCATTAGCTCATGTTTGTAGCTATAGAGCAATATCACGGAAAGAGATGTTTGGATTTCAGTGGACAAAACCTTTGTTCACATGTGGTTGAGATCTAATTTGTACATTTCATCCAGCAAGCAAACAAATTGTGCAACATCGCCTCCAGCATAAGTCCAACAAAGTATTGGAGCAATGGAAATTTTCCCCTAATGAGGCCGCCGGAGGAAAAGTCAGAGGATCACTATATTATTTGTTCCTGTAAGGACAAATTATAATATTGACCAAACCTAATTTAATGGAAATACATCTTATAGTTGTCGAGATATTTCACTAGAAACTGCAAATGTTTACCTACTGGTGGAGTTTACATTTCTATAGAGCCACACTGTACAAAAAAACTACATGTAAAATATTCAAAAGCAACATCTCTTTCCATAAAGATGAGCAGGATAAGAAAAAAATTCTGTTCATTTTTCAGAACTTCCTCCAATTATTGATTTTGTATCTTGTGATAATTTGTTTCATGTTGTTTAAAAAAATGCTTCCAATAAAACAAAGACAACCCCTCCCCACCACGCCCCACAGCTGGTGGGACCCTCGCTCCCTCACTGTGGGAGACGTGAACCTACGTCTCCTACAGTGAGGGAGTGTAGCGGTGGCAGGGGGTCGGGTACAGGCGGGGAGCTATGTACAGTTCTTGTTTCTGAAATTCTCTGAAGGAATTCCAGACAGCTCTAATCCACTCCCGCCCAGTAATGCTCCAACAGTACAGGGAGGATTGTGAGACAGTCAGGAGGTAGTAAAATGGGACAGGCTGCGTTCACACTGCAAGCCTTAGCAAAACATCAGATTTTTCATTTTTTTGGTTGTTCATATCATTTCAGATTCCAGTGTCCTGAAGTCACATGAACTCTGATACGACTGTTCACACTGAGGTCGCATTGCAATAAAAATCAGACCTGTATCTGATTTGGACCACATATGAATCAGAACTGAAAAGATCAGAGTCCATGTGGTTTTGTTCTGTTCACACTGTCGTGAAAAAGCAGATGTGAGTCACATATGAGCAAAGAAACTCCGCTTCGGGCTGCTTGAACGCAGCCTTACACATGACCCGATGAGTCAGATGGCTCAAACGTAAAACCCTTTGTTCTTCTAACTAAAGCTGCAACTGTTGATCTTTTACCATATGATCATAAATCACTAGTTCACAACCTTTAAGCAATGTCTCAAGTCAACCCTCTCTTCTAGAAACTACATTTAGACTAATTTATTTTGCCAATTACTTTTTGAAGGGAATTATGATCGCTGGCAACATTTTTTCCTTCTGAACTCAACAAGTGCACTTTGGTTAAGATTAGGGGGGGAAATTGTGGTTTTGGTTAGATGTTAAGAAAGTAACCAAGTTGCTCCTCACTGTTAACCTTTTCAATAATTAACCAAAACCACAATCTTTGCCTGACTGTAATTTCTAGTTGACTTTGGATACCTGTTTGTCCTTGTTTCCAGTTTTAATGCTAAGCTAAGCTTCATATTAACTGCACAGACATGAGAGTGGTATGTCTGATTTCACAGCAGCTTCTCTAAAAACAATGCATGTTGTGGTGTTTTTAGGCATTTGTTGCAATGATTTTGTGGCAAAAAGTGAACATTGCAGAAATAGTTGTGTTTTGTTTCGTATGAGTCATTCAAAATCATACCACTAGTTACTAGTAGGTCACAGTAGAGGACCGCTATGATTGGTGAAACTCGAAGGAAACTACAGCGTTGGGTCAAATTTGAGGGAAAGTTGCATCGATTGGAAAAAAAATTTCAAGGTTTTGCAGAAGTCACTGGTATTTTTGTTAATTGATGCGAAATCACAACTTCCTGGAGGGACTGTCTCAAGTTGTCCGTAACACATTTGATTCATCATTCATTTCGTATTAAAGTTGCTTAAAAAGAACTTGAATGCAGAAAATGTGAAGAGTTTAATCTGTTATCCCAAACCTACACATAACCTACAGTATCACTACCACATATGTCATTTAAAGTGACCTTTACTTTCTCAGCCACTGTCTTTATAGTTTGTTTTACTCTTTAAACTGAATTCATTGTTAGTGTGTTTAGAAGATCCCAGGTTGTTGTGGGCCATTAAAATCATTTGTCATTTTGTTAAGGACGTCGTGCAAGACTGCAGCCAAACCTGCACAAAACATCCATACAAAAGAAAAGTGTTTCATATCACAACGACTTTATTGAATCAATACTTGTATTCACACACACACTAACTTACAGTAACTGCAGTTACACCGACCGATTAAGGTTTTGTTGCATCTGTTTCCTGTAAATTTCTGGTTGAAATAAAACATTTCCTAATGTTCTTTTTGCCTCCTGTTTTCTGCTTTTTCGTGACTCCTCATCTGGCCAGAGAAACCCCTGAGGCACTGTCTCTGTCCACATCGGTATGAGACATGTGATTGTGCACCCCAGGGTGAACAATAGAAGGGTCCATCAATGTGTAGTTTTCTTTCTGTGGACTTGTTTTGTTTGTAGATGTCAGCTGAGCCACTTTAATTTCCTCAGGCTTAGGTAAGTAGAGGCTGGACTTGACTGATGTCTGTTCTGGGAGCAGGGAGTCAAACGGGACCTATGGGACCTTAGGAATGAATTTGTAATATAATAAATATATATAATAATATATAAATATAATCTATTTTTTGGTATTTGTTATTAGTTGGTGTTTCTGATATTTTGATTTTGGTGATTTTGGTGACGTTTCCGGCCCAGTCGTTCCTCAAGATCAACAATCATGTTTCCATCATCATGTGAATAAAAGAGAAATCCAAAGTGTGTGACACTTTTTTCCTACTCTAAAGTCTTCTTCCAGTGATCAGCACCTGCCCACAGCCCTTGGTGTGCACTTTTCTATATTATATTTGCTTTGAATTGTTTGGAAATTGCCAGCACACAGTGGTTCTTCATGGCATAAAGCGACACAGAATGGAGCACTTAGCAGCTAAAAGAGACAGATATATGGGAACTGTTGGGTCTCTGTAAATCATTTTTTAAGGAGTACAGTCTTACTCTGCTGCAAACCTTTAGGAGAAAAGCAGTGCTACAGAACTAAAACCCAACTTTGCAGGTGCTAAAGGTTTAGCCCAGCTGCCAGGTCTGTGGCCTCTTTCCTGGGGACAGTGGCAAGTGATCAAATGCTTCCTCACTGGGTCTTTTCCTGGGCTTAGCTGTGCCTCAGGAATGTGCTGGCATGCTGGTGGAACAGTAGGGATTTATCCGTGGTGTCAGCCTCTATCTGGCCTGTTGGTTCGCAGTCCACTGGACTGCAACAAACCCCCGCAACCCCGACACACCAGAGCAGGGCCTGATGGGACGGCGGGAGCATCATCTTTGGGGACGTGAGCGCCGAGAGGAGGACTGAGAGGTTGCACCATCGCGACAGAGCTAATAAATCCAGTTTCCCTTTAAAGCCCGGGTCTCAAACTCAAATTGGCATTGGGGAAGGTATTGTCCTCTCAAAGGAGAGCCACTTCAACATTCAAGCAGTAAAAGAAAGCTCAATATTTTGAAAATATTTCCATTACTAACATCATGCTTAACATAAAAGTGTATAGAAACTGCTGCTTGCATTTTCTACCATCTGCTCTCTTCTTGAGAACCTTTTGAACACATTTGTGACTACCTTATTCCATTATTTTACACCAAATGTGTTTTTATTTGTATATGAAGGGATGGTTTAAATTGCCTGATTATACTATATTTGTGACATCTTGTCATGGGCTCGTGGGCTGGCACTTTGAGTCCCCTGCTTTCCGGTAATAGTTTTCATTTAAGGAAATATGCTTAACTGTCTGTGTGAATATGAAGTTCAGTGGACTTTAGATGTGCTAGGCATCTCTGCTTGTTTGCTGCTGTGTTAATGTTTTAAATCTCATATAAACATAACCTTTAAAACGTTTTGTGATATCATCCGCTTGGACAATGTTTGACTTCACATGAGTTTCTATTGATAAAGAGGTGAAGGAACATCCTCAGGACAACCTCAGCAATGGTGCATTTAGACCTTTAAACTGTATTTTACCATCTCTAAATTATATAACAATTTCTCTATGCAAAAGGTTAACAGGGAATAAGTCCTGATGAAATTAGTCACAATCAAGGCACATCGCCAATGTTTAATATCCTTTATTATAACATCAGAGCTTCCTCTGCTGTTTTACAACACTACAGAGAAATAGAAAAACACCAAATACTGCAAATAATTCACTGCAGGTGGGGGTGTACTGTGTGTCTGGTGTGTTAAACAGTAAGCAGATCAAACTTCATAGTAGGCCATAACTCTCATACACTGCTGCTTACTTGTAGTGCAACTCTAAATATTCTATTTATTCTTCATTAAGCAGCTTTATGTTTGCTTTTTATTAGGGCAACGGTGAGTGGTAGATCTGGTATCTGTAATCCTGACATTACTATGGGGATCTAATTACTGCAAGTTATCCTCACTTGATCGGAGAGTGTATGAAGGGGTGGGTGGGCTGTGTGATGTGTCCACAGAAAATGTTCTCCCACCGACAAGCTGAGGAGGGAATTCAAACAGGGATGACTGAGGAGAGGACGATACCACCCACCTCCTCCTCCTCTGCTCACATGACTGCGATTAGAGCAGAGGAGGAGTGTGGTGGGACAGAGAGAGAGAGAGAGAGAGAGAGAGAGAGAGAGAGAGAGGGGAGGGAGATGGTGAGTACGATGAATGACATTTTTCTGTTTTTTTCCGGCGCACAGATCCACATCCAAGAACCCAACTACAGGCTTTGATTGCTGGCCGAGGGTTGTCTACTTTTCTGCGGTAATTGAACTTTAACATTTGTGGCTTTTGTTTTTAATTTCGATTTCCATGTGCTTTTCTTTTATTTTTGTTGTGTGTTACATGTGAGTACTGGTTTATTTGTGATTTATAGTCAATTGTTACTTAAGTAAAAAAAAAAAGCACCATTGTACAATTTTGAGGTAGTTAATTGACATTTTGTGCAACTTCATCCTAATATACAACATTTTAGAGTGAAAGATTAAACTTTTTACTTGATTACTTTTATCTGACAGCTGTTTTCAGATAAAGATTTCAATGATCAGTGTTAAAATAACAAATCCTAGAGTTTTAGGATTGACTGGGAGTACTTTCTTTTTTTTTATTCCACTCGACTTTGGTGCCTCTCTCAGGATTTATTGAGAAGAAACCTTCATAAAAAAATTAAAAATAAGTAACAACTGATGGGTGAAATCAAAGAACTTATTGTTCTAGCAAAAAAGAAACTGTACCTTTGGAGAAACTCTAGTGTTGATCGTAGTTCCACTGGGTAGTGTATGTTGAAGCAGTAGAAACTCACAAACATCAGGCTGAGGGCAGAGGTGAAGGAAGTGATGTGGTCGTTGACAACCTTTTGGTCAATGCTCAATATGAATGTCTCAGCAGAAAAGCAACAGGGCCCTGAAAAGATTAACAACATAAAAAAACGAAACAAAGAATTAAATAAACTTCAATAACAAGGACCTAAATGTCAGCCATTGACTAACATACAATGGTACTTATAACATTAAACATAGGACAGGGGGCATTTAAAAAACAACCAAAAAAACCCCAAAACATTTTAACAGTGATAACTGATAAACTGATACTGATAACTGAGTTCATTTAAACTATGCTACTGCATTGAATTCTCCTATGGGCTGACCTTGGTGCCACGTGAAGTAAAAGACAGTATCTCTATATGGGCTGCAACACAACATAGCCCTAAGTAAGCTAATAGTATAATCAGATGTCAATATACCAGTAGACTTAGCTGCAGGGTTTGGTTAGACTTTCAGTTTTTGTTTACTTACCACACACAAATATGCAGGGTGGCAACTTCTCCAAGTGAAACCTCTTGGGCATGTCTCCTCAACGTATTGGAGCAGGTTCTCCTCCTTCTCACCAAAATGAGCCAGTAAAAGAAGTACCATCTCTACGATGTCTTGTGAGCAACCATCCAAATGGCCCCGCTCAGTCTGAAACTTGAGAAGAGCATCCAGGACTTGTTTGTGTTTTCGTGCATCAACATTCTTGAAGAAGTTTAATAGTCCATGAGCCAGGGGGGTTGATCGGTATCATCGGGGGGACAAATGCTATCATTGTTTTTTGGCAAGGTATACACCCCTAGTACTAGAAAAATCACGATAGCAGTGCAGGGGTGGTAGCGAAATCACTTTTTTCAGCTGATGAAGTTACTAACCCCCTAAGATAAATTCAGTTTTTAAAATCTGGTGTATATCTGGTTTAGGCTCATGGTAGGGATATTGTCAATATTCTATAATATGGTTCTTGGTATCGTTGGAAAGGGGACCTTTTAGGCTTTCATTTAAGCCCAGTAAATGAAAAAAAAAATGAATAACAAATATATACACTCTTTGTAGTGCCAATAAAAAAAAACTTCAGACAATTGGTAGATATACTGTACTTCAAGTATTTTCTTCCTCGAAAAAGTAGAACAGTGTAACAATATGAGGTACTTTCAATCTAACATAATAATAATGTGCATTTCACGATTACATTCGTTCCTTTAATTTCTTGGAGGGAAAAGTAATGGCTATACTTCCATTTAGAGAAGGCTACTTTTGGATTATTTGGGCTCGCCATACCTGTCTCTCGTTGACTGACTCACTTGTGTTGTTCGTTGTGTGTCCGACTATGCGTGCTTTCGAAAACCCGTCCAACTCTACCTCTGATTGGCTTACCATGAAATTTTACTCAACCTCAGCCAATCGTCAGCATTTATGCGCTTGTCTCGCGCACTGCCCACTAACCAAGGAAGAACAGTAAAAAAAAGTCCTTGCCTCTCGGCTCAGAGATCTAGTTGGTCTGATGAAAAAAACAGCTTAAATTTTAGTAACGCGCCGCATTTTTTGGCAGTAATGGTAACAGCATTATTAAGATGGGAAGAGTAATCAATTAGATTACTTGTTACTGAAAAAAGTAACGCCGTTAGTAACGCCGTTATTTATGACGCCGTTATTCCCATCACTGGCTGCCTCAAGCTATCCTTGCACGGTGGGAGTTGATAACTCGATTGTGAAAGTGTGAAAACCAGGCGACCTGTGTAGAAAGTTCAGATTAAGACGAGGACGACATGGAGAATGATGATGATTAGATAATAAAATAATGGATATCAACATACAAACCAGTCTTTGATTAAATATATTGACTTTACAACCTGTTTCTTTATTGACTTTTACAACTAATAGGGCTCCATCCTATTTGTCCATTCTATTCGCTCTATTCTATTTTGAAGACTTGTGCTGGCTCCACAAGTCTAATTTAAGGCTCTCACAAATAAATAGTGTGGGTATATTATACATTTTCTGAATCATCAGAGTGCCTTGAGTATTGAAGTTGTTGAGTTTGTGTCCCTGATGTTCCTTCATGCCCCAGGGATAAAAGAAAGCATACAGTTTAGGCGGAAATTGTGAGAAAATGTGTGTTATTTCTGGTTTAAAGAAGTCATGTGACCTCTGTGTTTGTCAGACAGATTCAGTACTGGGCTTAAATGAAAGCCTAAAAGGTCCCCTTTCCAACTTACCAAGCACCATATTATAGAATATTGACAATATCCCTACCATGAGCCTAAACCAGATATACACCAGATTTCAAAAACGGAATTTATCTTAGGGGGTTAGTAACTTCATGAGCTGAAAAAAGTGATTTCGCTACCACCCCTGCACTGCTATCGTGATTTTTCTAGTACTAGGGGTGTATACCTTGCCAAAAATCACTATGAGACTTTGTCCCCCCAGATGATACCGATGGCCCAAATTTGGGGCCCTGGCTCATGGACTATAAGAGACGTCTTCCTTTTTTCTCCACATTGCCAAGGAAGGGATCCATTAGACTCAGACCAGTAAGTTCTTGGAAGTGTGCTACCATACCAGCTTCCTTGAACAAAAAGGGCCACTCTTGGCTGATTTTCTGGATGCTTGCCCCCTTGTTGATGTCTTTACGCTGTGTGTAATAGGTGGACTGTACTACTCTATTGCAGTCAATCTCTTGAAACATCTCCTTTATCTTGTCTTTTTTTTCTTGCTGACTCTCCATAGTCTCGGAGAGTGGCAAATATTTCGGCTCCCAGTTGACACAGCCATATGTGTCTTGAACTCTGGCTTTTTATCATACTCATCTAATGTAACCTTACGTTTCATTATCTTTGGTGTGTTTTTTAAAATTGACTCAAAACAATGATCAAAATAGTTGCTGATTAATTTAGTAGTTAACTGATCACTTGTTAATCGTTAAATGACTAGATAATGTGTGCTATGGTGTGATGGCAATTTAGAAATGTTGTGAAATTATGTTAAATTTAATACACTTACTGTTCTGGGCCCAGGCAACAACAAGTCTTCTGGCTTGGATTGGCTTCAACACCGGTAGCAAGTCTCCTTCTGTAATGAACTGCAGATCATCTAGGGTCTCTGCACTAAATCCCTTCAATGTATCTTCCACTGAAGTAAGAACTGCTTGAGGAAGGTCTGGAAGAACTGCAGCAATGGCACTGCTTAGCGTCTGTATCTGTGATTCAGCCAAATCTATCAGATACACAAACACAAAGAAGTTGGCCTTTGGCCTATTGACATCAAAGCATCTACTCTGACAATACACTGTGCTTTAGTGGCACTATCTGGTATCCATTTTTCATGTAAGATGATTAATGGCCACATGTCAATCAGTTCATTAATATGTAGGCACTGCAATCTTCCACTGTCCTTTTTCACTGAGTACATGTGGTAGTGTGGAAGGATTTCTGCTGAATATACTCTCATCAGAAAATGAGGTGCAGAAACATCTTTAACTACAAGGAGGATGAGTTCACCAAACTCCACTGTTCTGTTCTCATCTCTGCCTAGAAACACTTTTTTGGGCTTAACATATTTAAACATTTCTTTACACTGTGCTCTAGAGTATGCTGTTCTCATAGGCCCTGTGTGGCAAGCTGAGAACAAGTCAGAGTCCTTCACTGTATCACAGATTTTTACAATCTCTTCATCTGATACTGACAAATCTTTCAGAAGTTTAATCTGTTCAGTGTATATGTGTGTCCCATCTCATGTATGTTTTGAATCTCTTCAACGATGATTTGAACAGTAGATACTGGAATAACAAGTTGCCCCTGAAGTTTTATGTAAAATAAACACACATTTCTGAGGTACAAGTCACTGAAAGTAGTCCCCAAAAGTGTCCTCAGCAGCATCTGATCGATGGCAGTTTCGTGCACGGTGGGGATGTTTTGCTCATTTGTAGATGGCCTTTCTAAATTTTGTATAATAAATGAAGATTTTACAGTAAACAGTGAGGTTTTACATCCTCTCACTGGGCAGTTTACGGGACGTCCCTCTGCTATGTGCTCCTCAAGGTGAGCAACCAACTCCCTGACTGTCACACTGGCGCTCACAAAGTGCAACCGTGCACTTCAATGTAGCATGATCCGGAGCAACCGACGACGCAACACTATGGTGGCAATAGAAGTGCGATTTTAATGCTGCATATCCAGAAAATACCTGCTTACAGCCAATTTCCACACACTTGAAAATACAACGGGGTTCATTGTGATGCAGTTTACAATGTACAACATACGCCGTAAGAGACTGAACAGATTCTCCACAAACACAACAAGAATACATCTTACAGGTCAAACAGGGAAATATCGACCATAAAACATAATTTAAAAATCATATAAAACATAAACCTTACCGTAGTAAGACGCTGAAAATGAGCTGGTAGCAGAGCCAAAAGAAAGGCTCTGATTGGACGCCGCGTCAAGATGCAAACAGTGTTTGAATTCAGGCGCCCTTTCTTTCTACAAATTAAAACTCAAAAACTCTGATGTGTTTTATTTTGCTTAACACAATTATCTTTACCTTTGGTGGTTATTGAACAGGGTTACTGCAAAATAAAAAAAAACAGAAAAAGCAAGGGCAAGTTTTTTTTCAATCTTTCTATCTTCTATCTTTTTTACTTTTCACAATATTGGACCATCTACAAATGCAAACTTCAAACCTGTTCATTTCATATGAAAGATATTATATTATATCTATCTATCTATCTATCTATATATATATATATATATTAAACAGATTATTTACAGAAAATTAGACCAAATAAGACATCTGTAACACTTAGAAGTGTAAGTAAAGCCTCAAATTCCCCTAACTCTTTCTCTTTCTCTCTCTCTTTCTCTTTCTCTCTCTCCCTCTCTTTCTTTCTCTTTCTCTCTTTCTTTCTCTCTCTCGCTTTCTCTTTCTCTCTCAGCAAATTTTAAAAATGCAGCAAATGACTGCAAAGGACAATTGTGGATACATGCTACACACACGAGCATGCGCTGTCACCCTCTCCCTGTCCACACTGCCACACTGGAAGTACAGAGAGTCTGTTGGAGCTTTGAGAGGACAGTTCGTAGAAGTTTCCGTGTGGTACCTGTGTTGTAATGTTAGCTAATCTAGTGGCTCACAGAGGCTAAGGGTGTGGTTGAATAGTCAATTTTGCTTAGGAACCTTCCTAACTAAGTGAAATTACCACAATTCCTTGCGGCAGCGACAAAAAAATGACGCACCGTTCGGTCATTCACAACCAGACATAAGAAAAAAGTTGGATTATCTGAACACCGCGGTCGTCTTCTCCTAACTCCTTATGAATTCTCCTTCACATCTTTCCTTGACCTTGTGACGTTTTCCATCAAGGTCAAGGAAAAGTGGTTAGGAAAGGCTAAAAAGATAAATTTTTTGACTATTCGACCGCATCCTAACTATAAGTCTCTGGTGGTGTGTCTGTCAGGAGTGTTAGTACGTCAGGCTACGTAGCAGGCCAGAGTCTGGACATCTGAATCTTATTAAGGCTTGAAGTTGTGCATAATTAACAGTGTGACCGCTTGATTGACAGATGGGTGCCAGTACAGATGGCCCCAGGCATCATTCGCCACGCCTTAGGTCACCTCCTTGCCGATATTTAGTTTAGCCGGGAAGCAGAAGAAGCAGTACATCCAACATGGCGGTGGCCATTACGTTTTACAGTGAGAAGAAAAAATATTTTTTACAAAAAATAAATGCAAAAATTACAGTGATGGCTCGTATATGTATATTACGGTATATTTTTGTTACAAACACGGTGCCATTGTATTTTACAGTGGAGTAATGTATTTTTTTTTATATATATACATTTACGGTGTTTCATTGTTACTAAAACTGAATTAAACCATTTATCATCTTACAATCTTTTACTGTTATGGTTTAGCAGTTTTTCACCGTAAAATCTACAGACATTGTTTACAGTGTACCACCCAGCTGCATGAGGGCACTATAATTAGGTTCATAATCAGCTAAAACAGCAGTAGGCCGATGTGTGAACATGGTGGACTGATGCGACTAACATCCTGACCTTGTGTGTAGAAATTGAGTGTGTGATCATTTTAAATGACAAGCACCTAATTCCTGAAATATCTGAATTTAAGTTTTTAGAAGTTAGTTTCAGAGAAGTTACATCCGTCTGAATCTGTGGCAACAAGTTCATTTTAACAGTAAAAAAACTTTAATAAATATCTTAATGGAACACCTCCCTCTCGAGTCTTCAGACAGCTCATTATCAATTACTTTCCTGAGTAATCGATTAGTTGTTTTGTCTATAATCAGAAAATAGTGAAAATTGAAACAGTGAAACATTTGGTGAAGAATGAATATCATCATAATATACTAGCGGGAGTCATGAGATGATGATTTGCATTGATCTTATAAATAACTTGTGTTTACGTAATGTTTTGTGTTACATAATGTGTATATAAAACATAGATGGACTTAGAAATAATAATAGAGATTTTTACACAGATTTTATGTATAACCTGATATTCTGATACTGATATCTCTGATGTATCAGCCTTGCTGTTATTATTTCACTACATATCCAAAACATTTTGTTTATTTCTGAACTGCACATCTAAGAAAATGTTTCACTAACAAGTGAAAATGCAAAAATGTTTTTTTTAATTAAAATCTAAAATAATGAGCTTAATTTCAGTAATATCTTCAGTAATTGTGTATATGTTTTAATGTATGAGGTATTCTGTGAGCTTTACACTCTCAGTTGCAGGTATGAGGGTGCTACACTGGTGCATGCTGGGAGTGACCATCCTGCTGCTGGTGTGTGAGGTCACCATCAGTCAGCTGTGCCACTCACAAATCATCCTGGTGGACAGTTTCCACACACTCTTCATCCTCATGCGGATGGCTCTTACTCCTCCTCCAACTGCAGGCGTAACAGAACCTCCTCTCTCCTCTCTGGAGGAGTCCCCTGCGTCTCCTCCTCTTGCTTCCTCCTCCACAGCGGTGCTTCCTTCCACCCTGCCTGCAGAGTCATCGATCGAACCTCAAACTGGCACCCAGACCACCACTGATGGGTCGACCCTCCCAGATCCACCTCCCACCCCTCACCCTCCAGCTCTCACCTGCGGTCTCTCCCACACCAAATGCAGGATTCAGGCTGTGGGTCCATTCATTTCCTCTCTCCTCCTGGCCTCTCTGTGTCTCTCTTACATAATGGAGATCATCAGCTCTTCCCTGGAGCCACAACCAATACAGCGCCCCCTGCTGCCTGTGGTGGTCAGCGCTGTCAGTGTGCTCTATAAGATGCTGGTGTTCTGGCTGAACTGGGATCAGCAGCAGGCCCTGCAGACTGAATCTCTTGAGGTGAACCCCAGAGGTAACATTACCTACAGATTACATGTTCACATTGATATACAAATATACAATATAACAATATTTATCTCTAAATTGTGACTAATAGTTTTATTAACGGTTATTAAATTAAAACAAAAAAAATAACATTTGGGTTGCGGGTGTTTATCCTCCGCCAGCCAGACACCTGTTTATCTTTTCTGTTTATCTTTTTAGCTCTACCGTTCATCAGACTGAATACAGCTGCAGGACATCTGGAGCAAAGTCTGGTCATTAAAAACGTATTAATATTTACAACAGAAGCCTTGTTAACATTTCTAATTTTGAAGAAAGTGAGAAACTTGTGACCTTTATAGGGAGAAGAAGGGAGATAACAGAGACCCAAGACTATATATATATATATATATATATATATATATATATAAGAACAAGCAGAATAAAGTTTAAAACCCACAAAATAAAACATAAAACAAAGTCAAAAAAAATTTTATTTTAAGCACTAATTTGGTTTGTCTGAGCGTTTCCAGATTTGAGGAGCAGGATTATGATCACCTTTAGTTTTCAGCCCTGACCTTGAAACAGTCAGAAGTTCTCACTCTGAAAGAATCTGAGCTGAAGATCTGAAAAGCGAATTCCCAGGAATTGGTTGAATTTCTGTGAATTGTTTTACGATTGCAACATCAGAACTTCCTGGAGGGACTGAAGTAAAAGTAATTCAAACAGTGCTCATTGTGTCACCTCCGCACCGCAGCTCGTCCCATTACTATGACTACTGTTTAATCAGGGTTATAAAAGGACTTTAAAGGAACTGTTTTAACATTTTAAGAAGATTGTATATTGGGTCAATATGAAGCTACAGCCAACACCCAGTTAGCTTAGCTTAGCATAAAGACTGTAAACGAGGACAGAGTTGGTAGGGCTCTGTCCAAAGGCAACAAAATAGCACCTCTAAGATT